TGTTACTCTTGAGAAACTATGAGAAACTAAAGTTGTGCATAGCTTTAGTTGGTCTTCTGGAGTAAAGACAGAGGCTTTGAGTTGCAGAGGTGGAGGATACATGTTGAAGAAAAAAGCGACACCGCTAGTATAGGATAGTAGTTTGAGGAAGGAGATGTTGCAACCTATGTACCGATCTCCAAGTGGGAGAATTATTAGAAACGATGGGGCTCGGTCCACTATGCTTGGGCAGTTAATTTGCGTTGGAGAGTCACACCTCTTCACAAATAACCACTCCCGCCTTCCTCTTTTGTGAAGTGAAGCACCTCTTCGCTTCCTCCTGTTCGTGATAAAAGCTTCAGATGGCTTTCTTTGGGGTTAGTAGTCACGCTTTGAGTTCTTCTTTGGTTTCCTCAGGATAGAGGAAGGTTTCCACAGGGCAGAGGAAGAGATGTGCAAGGAGGAGCAATTCCTTGCGACAGAAGGAAGAAGAAGGAAGAAGAAGAAGATTGTCCTCCCTAGGCTTCTCCTTGGTGGCTTGTGGAAAAAGAGAAATTGAGTTTATTTCTCTTGTAAGTTTATCTTCTTCAGTGTACTTCAGTGTTGAGTTTTCTTCGGTGTATCTCGGTATAGAGAGAGCTCGGTATAGAGAGAGGAGAGAGAAGAATAGAGAGAGAAGAAAAGAGAGAGCAACGAAGAGTGAGAGATTGCTCTTGTAAGTCGAGGTGATCGACTGGTGTAAATTCCTCAAAAAGTAAAATCCTTTGCAACTCCGTGAACGTAGGCAATTTACAGAACCACGTCAATCTGTGTGTTCCGCTGTGTTGTTCTTTTCTGGTGTGTTTATCTTGTTCTATGTTTCACTTCATCGATCGTTCTCCTGTTTGATTTATATATATACCACATCAACTGGTATATCTAGATCTCACAACAACAATAAAAAATACTACCAAAATGTTACGATAATACCACCATAATAACACAATAATTTATTATTTCTAACATGAGAGGAGTAGAAGCTATGGTTCATTTGTGTGAAAAACCATAAGGTCATAACAATATCACTACAATACCAACTATTTTCTAAAACTTGCAGATCCTTTTGAAGTAGTAATTTTTAATCAAATAAGATTATTTCTCATAGTAGAAGAGCATAAAATATTTTTCATTTATGTGACAAGCCATAATACCACCACAATACCATCTATTTTTCTAAAATTTTATATTACATTTTTAATAACAATTTTCAAAAAAATAAGGTGCATAGCATCATAAACTATTATTTCTCACATCAGAGTAACAGAGATTATGGTTCATGTATATGAAAATCCATAATATCGTCATAATACCACAACAATACCATTATTTTTTTAAAACTTGCCAATGTTTTTAAAGTAATAAGTTTCAATCAAAGAAGATGCATAACTCAAAATATATTATTTATCACATCAAAGGAGCATAAATTATGATGCATTTGTGTGAAGAATGATAATCCATTGGTGGGGTATTTTTGTGTGTTGTGCACTATAGAATTTTATGGAAGACTTCTATCTAGATGACCGG